TTCACTCCAAGAATCCCCAGAATGTCTCCCCAAATCGCATCTAGCCTGGTGTGGTAAGAGGATTTTGCTAACCGCAAACCCCATAGTGAAGATTCAAAAAGAAGAGCTGGAAAACGTTGAAAAGTGGAGCTGTATGGGGATCTATGGTTTGGTACTAGAGGGTTCTTCAAAACCCCAACCCCTATAACAAGAACCCTATAACTGTCACATGACTATAGTAGGGTTTAGAGAATCCTGCCATTGCTGTAAACTTTCCAGCAAATCGTTGAGAAGGTCTGCGGTTCCCATCTCCCTTCTAAGTCCTGCCACCACGCAGCCGTCAAAGCTACGGAGCACAAAAGGGCGAGCCTGCACACGGTGTGCATTTTACCCTGCCCCTACTCCTAGGTCGTTTTGAAGGGGATAGGGATATCATCTGGGGTTTAGCGCTTGAAGTTTGGGTTAGGGATTTTGAAAATTCCAGGTTCTTGGGTACCCAATGGATGGGGTGGGGATTACAAATACAGGATTGCAGGGTCGCCTTTGAGGATTCTACAGGGAAAGGGCCCTGGAAAGCGCCTTCGGTTACATACTGCTATTGCCTTGGGCGAGGGTATTTGGAAGGTTTTCCACTTACTTCCAAGGCTATATTTTGGATTACGTAGAACCTGTATGTGAAGCTGACATCGCTCACGAGCTTTCTTACCGCAAGCACCGGTTCGGAGGCTTCCACGATTTAGGGTGCTCTTCTTAGAGCTTCTTAGCAGTCGTTACAATGCAGGGTCATTGGATTGAAGGAGTATTTAAAGCGGACTGGGTTTTCTGGGATTGACCATGCAATTAAGCCATGCTTTGAGATCAACGCTAAAATCTTCCTCTATAGGTCATGTTATTCGCACTCTTTTAGGTCATGAAAGGATGTAATAACCTGCATGGTACACGATTCAATCTTACGGACTTTGCCTGTGGATTTTCCCTAAAAACGCGGTCAGCCCAAATCCTGCGCTTGCTTAAGGGATGCAAATCCCGCACTTGCATTAGGGAAACAACATAGTACCCGTTGAAACCCTCACAAGGCCTGTAATGGAAACCTGCCCAGGAACTTTTGAACACCCAATTCCAGCCTACAGGTGTGGCCAAGTGGGGCGACAAAAAATGTGGTTCCTTGAATTAATAGTCCTGCTGGTACCTTATTGGGGGTCATTGCAACATGGATTAGAGTATACTGGCGTCTATCTTGAGGTGCCCCTATTTAGGGAAGCTGCCACATCTTTAAGCCGAATACAGAACAAGACTGAAAAAGGAACCTGGTACAGACTGCAAGCTACAGTGACGACAAAACATGACATTCTGTGACATGGGCTTCGAGACATGCATCCGACAGCAACCCTGAAAAACCTTTGCCAGACTCGACCCAAAAGCCGTGTAGAAGCACCCCACGTCTGGGAGAAAGATGGCCGTTTGCGCGTACAATATGACACACATCTATGCTCAAACATCAAAGTTGCTACGCGCTCGCAACAATGAGATGCGGAAAACAACCACCTCTAAGCAGGACAACCGCTCATAACAGCCGAATGTTGCAACTATGATTTGATGAGCTCCGCTAGAAACCATACGTTGTTCTTCTTGACACTGGAGCCATTGCGGCATGCCTATCCGCACGCCACATGTGTCCTGCAGCCACAGCTTCCCGCAGCATGGCTGCGGCCGCTGAAGCTACATGAGAAGTTGTTCCTTAATTGGGCTGTTTATGGAGCCAAGCGACACGACCCGCGTCAAAAGACCTTGATGGAACGAGTTTTGGAAACCTATGATATGTTTGGTTCAGGTTTGTTTGCTTGAATCCGTATGGCCGCGTCTCCTCAAAGTGCACTTCATGTTTCTCCGACGGCCCCTTCATGCGACCTGAGCTGTGCAAAGCTTATCCGGTATTGGTCTAGTTTGGCTGCGACGGAGCTCTGGCCTCAGCAAAGTTTAAGACGTGTTGCATCCTAACTTCATTAGCTACGCTGTATGTCATCATGGGCCAGGATGCAGGCGAGCATTGTAAAATCTGTTCCATAGGTGCTGCCACGCAATCCTGCAGCATCTTTCAACATGTCTCGGAGACGTTCAGCCCACAGTCGCTGCTCCTGGTAGGGGGTTGAATCCCGTAGTTGATCGAATTCCTGTTCCCAAAATGTAATAATGCCAAAATTTGAAAATAACTTGCTCCATATGATTCCTTACAGACCTACCTGAACCCAACATGATTTCCCCAAAGGAGCCAAAAGAAGAAGAAGAAGAAGCCCAAATGCCATGCAGGCGGAGCCCTGATATCAAATGTGGGTTGGACTATCTGTCTATATATGTATATATATATATGCATATATATATATCTATATGAGCCACAGTCTAAACTCCCAGTATCCCCCTTAATAACCCCGATAGTCGCCCGTATAGTCCCCTATATATATATATATATAAATAAACCTCCTTTAAGGAATATAGACCTTGAACCCTAAACCCCATAACACCCCCCCTTTAAGCAGTTCAGACTATATCCCCTATACATATATATGTATATACAGATAAAAATACACATGATGTTGGGGTGGGGGGGCCCTTTATTATTAGGGGAAAGAAGTATGGAGAGGCAGTGCCTGTTCGGAGGCCTGACAACTTCTGCTCGAATGCGCTACCGATTGCGCAGGCCGCAACCTTCATTCCTTTGGAAAATATAAGGCTCACTGGAAGGTAGTAGAGAATAAGGGAATTATGTAGGGGCTATATAAGGATTGTATCCATTTTGGGGGGGGGATACAATGCCACTGCAAGCTTGGTGATGGCACTTCTTTGGAGGGGTTCGCTCACGTAAACACGGCCAGGACGTACCACGTGCTTTTCTGGGAGAGTCAGCTGTGAGCCCTCGCTCCTAGCATCCGGCGTAGTGTAATCTATGATGCAAGCAGCTGTGGCTTGCATGCATAGGGCAGCCCTGATTTGTGGCGGTGTGTGCTTGACGCTGTTCTGAATCATCCAGGACTCTAACCTTTGCAGAAACCATCCAGGGCAGCCGGCTACGAAAGTTCGGACATGAGCGAAATTCCGCACATGGAGAAACCACGTCTGGACTTTGAGTCTCAACATGACACCATGTGCTTGAGAGCTGCATCCAGTGAAGGAGCGGTGCAACTATGCCCACAGCGGCACCGGGGTTTTCATGCTTTTAATTACTGGTGGCCTAGAGACCCCAAGCAACGTGACGTGCATAGCCCCTATGAGAAGGCCCACAATGTAGAAAAACTCCCCGTGCCACTCTGGGACTTGCAGCCCTTAGGACTGGTGTCCTGGGCAATTCACTAAGAGATCGGCAAAAGAGGCTATAGCTTTCGAAGCTCAGTAAAGGTCACAAGTCAGCTGCTACTGCCGGAGTCTGATTTTCTGGGACCGATAAGAAAGGGCGCATCTCGCTTAGAATGCACAATAGAATGTCGGAAAGTCCGCATGACTGCCGTCTTGCTACACCCATTTACAGACAATTAGTGCCATCCATGCTGGATATCATCTACATGCGCGATCCTGTATGTTCTCTCCATCTATGACTGCAATGCTTGGCATGCGTCCCTTCACGCCCGAGAAGGACTTCAAACTTCTCTCGTCTGCAGGGACTTGCCCATGCATAATGCTCAGCATCCACAGCATCAATACAGCTTCGAAAGCCTTACCTTCTAGGCATCTGCAGGCACAGGCCGCATCCGGTTGAGCATCACGAAAGTTAAATCTGCTATGCGGGTAAGTTTCAGAGTGAAAGAGTTGGAGGAGAGAGAGAGAGAGACAGAGATAGAGAGAGAGAAGAAAAAGAGCGGGACCACTTTAATCTAATTGCTAGTCACCTTACCATACTTGGTTTTCATGCGGGACCAAACTTTCAAGACTTGTGCTTATCTGTTTCCACAATTCCAGATGCAGGCTGAGCTCGCATTCATCGACCGGGAAAACTTGGCTGAAAACAGCACTGGAGCCATAATCTGAACTCGTAGAATCCCCGTTAATAACTTCTCAATAATCTCCTATATAACCCCCTTTAAGGAGTCTAGATCATAGCTCACCTCAGGGAGGACCTGGGGGTGTCGGCAAGTGGCTTCAACACGACAGATTTGTCCCCAGGCATCCCTGCATGATCGACGGAACAATTTTGACACGCTCCGAGCCGTCGCCGTCCGTGAGGAATCGCAGATGTGGGGATTTCCCAAGCTAGGGGTACCTTTCTGGGGGGTCCCCATAATATTATGGTATTTGAGGGTCTAGATTTAAAGCCCCCCTATTCAAAGTCCCCATATTTTGACAAACTACCATGTGCGTTTCTTGTGCTTCCCCACAGAGCAACAGCCTGATGATTTTCAGTACGCTTACTGCGCAGGGCTTTGCAGGCAACACCTTGGTCTGGGGTGGTAATGTAGGAATATGACTGCAGCATGACATTCGTCGATTCGACTCGCAACAGCATCAAGAGCCAAAAGTAGTTTCAGATCTGCGAGTGCTTTGCTTCGGCTCGGCGCGCATCACTTAGCATAAGCCCTGGGGCAAAAGGCAAGGAGTTCAATCACTTGCTGGAGCTCCATACGATACCTGGACACCAGCCCACAAAGTCTGCTTTCCCAAGGGGCTGACAACAATACCATTGCTGAGATTCGTCAGGTCAATTCTGCAACTCTAAACCAACTTATGGACATCCAGCAAGATGACTCTAGGTCTTCGGCGCCTTAGGCGGGTGCGGCATGGAATGCTGCTTCACAAGCCATGCCACAGCTCCAAAATCAAAGCCTTGCTTTGGCTTCTACTCCGCTTTGCCCTATCCCACAATTGTGGCACAGGGCCAGGAAACTAAAAACTCGAGTCTAGCAAGTGGTCGAAACAAACAACATGGTGTTATGGATATTCCTACTTGCCCGACTACGCAAAAGCATTGTTTTATCTTGATATTCTCCATCGGCCTTTACCCTGGAAAAGACGGTGTATGGGCACCGTGGTTGCCATCAGTAGAAACAATGCAATGGAGGTAACGGCGCCATCCCAGCCGGCAGCTTGCGTGGCGTGCGGATTATGGTGTCCATCGGAAGCATCTTCCTGCCAGGTTTCCTTAGCCCAGCGATGCAAAACAGGCTCACGAGTACTGTCTAGTTAGTATCTAGCAAAAGTGTTAGAGCGAAGTTAAAATAACTTCTGATTCTCTGGAGCCCTCTCACAAGGATCTAGTGGACGAACATCTGTTTTGAGACTTGCCCATGTGTCGAGGCTAGAGTCCGTGCTTGTGATTTGCGCCTCACCGGCTCTACGGCAGCAACCAATAAGAAGAATGCTCGCGAGTCAACTGCATGCACCCACAGGCAAATCTCTGTAACGTCACAGCTTATGCGTTCTCAGCTTGCGTGTCAGATCTGCACGTGCGCTGCAACCATTTTAGCTACAAAATAACTGCTGCATCTGTAACCTGCTATCCCGTCTGCTCAGCCAAAGAGCAGGTTTGTTAACATTGGGAGGACTGTGTGGCCTCGTCCAGGACGGCTGCTTGCACATGTCCAAATGGAAAGCCAATATGGAACACAAATCACTTCAAACAAACAAGGTTCACTCTAGGGAATAAAGAGCTCCAACACACTCTTCCTATTTAACAGCACTTCTCCGGGAATTACATGAAAAACAATGATGGGGCGAAAAGACGTGTGAGAATGGGGTGTGTGAGATTCCCATGCAAGCTGGCCTTTTCAAGAGGCAGCCCTAGCGACCACGAACCCAAACAAATTGATGCTCATGAAGTAGGGGTAAGCTTGATGGCCTCTGGGCGATACACTGGTATTGTGCAAAAAGTATGGGGTTACCCTTCAGGAGTACAGATTGCAGGCATCTCATTGCAGCGATCGTTTATTTGGTAATTTCCGAAAATAGGGGGACCCAATATAGACCCCAAACTACTGTAATCCTTCTTATCATTGGGGATCCGCAAAAAGGTACCCCTAATTTTGGAAAACCTTCATGTCTGAGCATGGCATGGCCTGCGCCTCCTTTCGGTCGCAACGTCTCCGCCTGCGGCACGGCTTCATGGTGTGAAATATGGCACCCACAGGGAGGATAGGACCCCAATCCCTGTTGGCGACTACCTAAACCCCAAACCCTAATCCGCATGAAGTTCGCGGAAAGGCTGGGAAAGGAAGACACCCAGTAGTGGCAATTCTCAGCATGCACGTAAGAATGCGGTAACAACGCAGCGCGGCAGGGAGATGCTAAAGTATGCGATTGAAACTGCTTGATGTGAGCTACAGTCTGAATTTCTAGTATACCCCTTCATAACCGCCATAAAATAGGGTTTAGGGTTTAGGCTTAGTATCCCCCTCAATAACACCTATGATATAAATATGGTTCAGGGGTTTAAGGTCTAAACTCCTAGTATCCCCCCCCCTTTAAGGAGTTTAGACTATAGCTCCTGTGTTTTGTCCGCGGCTCCGCTGCAAAAGCCATCACTGGAGGCCCCTTCATGTGGAGCACGCAGCACATGGAGCTTTGGCAACTGGGTGGTTGTCAAAATTCTGGCCCCTTTTCGGATCCCTATTATAATACGGCACCTAATATTTAGGGTACCCAAAAAGGGACCATAATTTTGACAAGCACCTAACTGGAGCTAGGACACCATCCCATCCCAACTGGCAAGCCCACGCCACGTATGCAACCCTATTTTATAGCAAGAGTTTCAGTTTCTTTTCCATTTGATTATCCGATACTTGGTAACTATGCCTTACCCTAAAGCCTATAGTACCCCTTAAGTAGATTGAATGCGGCTTTGGGAATATCATAATAAGATTCCCACATACCCCATTCTATCTACTTAATTAAGGGGGATTATACATCCCAAACCTGAAACCGGAAACCCAAACTGCCCAACCGGGTTGCCTTGTGGGTTTCCCGAGGCCGGGATTCATCGTGGCCGCGCTGTAGTGCCGCCAGCCTGGGCACATGTCTCTGCAGGCTTTGCGTTATACAGGGATATATACGGGGATATTAGGGCTATGCAGGGATGTATAGGGGGATATAGGGGTTATATAGGGATATGTAGGGTTTAGGGGTCGGGGTGTAGACTGTAGGAACCACCCACAAACGCCGAACGCCTGTGCATCGCCCTGAGCTTGCAGAATCATGTGGATGGACATGGCCAGAAAAAGTCCAAGTTGCTCAAGCACCATTCTTATCTTAGTGACACGGTCGTGAGGCCGTTCATTGCTGCAAGTCCCCCACCCAGCCCAACCCTGCCAAGGGGCAGCAATTGCTTTAGGGTCTAGGGTTTAGGGGATCAAGCGAAGCGGCAGTGTCGAAACGAGCCAACGGTTGTCCGAATTTGCCACTTTGCGGGCACTTTCAGCGGATACCAGACAGAATAAAAGACCCACACCGCACTCTGTAATAAATGACCCAGCCCTTGTAACAAACTAACGGCGCTAATAAACACTGACATAATATTCGCACACCATCATCTTATCTGGGGAGTATTTCTAATCCCTTGCCTCTGCCTCCGTCCGGCTTCTAATGCTCAATGAGGCCAAGCTGCAGAAGTTCCTGGGCGCTTTCTTGTGACAACTCCAGCTCCATCTCGGTTCTCTTGAAGTTGGCCAAGGCCTCCCAGTTCGAGATGCTTTGGCTGTTCCAACCCATTCAGTTTTTTGCTGGAAGTGGCGTTTTCCTACTAAGTGTTTTTGGAGCAAGCTTGGAAACTCAAGCACATTGTCTCTGCAGCACGCTTCAAAAAACCCGCGGCTGCTTGAAGCAGCATTGACTTACACTGCCTGGCCTGTTGGGGCCTTGGACGCTTTAGCTGCTTGTGCTTCAACAGTGCATCTGATCTATCAGCACTGTGGGTCAACACCCACCTATGAAAGATCAGGCAAGTAGGATGCGTCGAAGACCTGTGCAACTTTCAATCTTGAACAATTGCAAGGCTTGGCAGATCTCAGCCACAACCCACGCATTCAGAAAAACATCCACCCGCCAGCATGCCGGGCAGCCATCCCGTATGCACCACCTACAACGTCACCAACCGGAACTTGTGCCTGAAGCACATGTGCCACGCGTTTGGCATGTGCAGGTGAGATCGGCGCACGCAGTTGCTCGACGAGTTGTCGCAAAGCACCTCAATCGAGGGTTGAATTGCAAAGTACGCGTCTTTCATGTGTGCGTTAGCATCTCTAACTGCAAAGGGGCAAAACCAGCTTGCGCTGCTTCTGTCCACGAGTTGGACGTGTGTGGACTTGAGGTCTTGTTGATGTACTGACAGCAAGCCGAAGGCCAGTGTAGGCAAAGCCTTGACATCTTTGACACAACCAACCCTTCTTGGGAAGCTTGACTTAGCCACACCTGCGCCATGCCGTCCAACCCCCAAGCAGGAACCCAAAGCACCTTGAGAAAGCATCACGTCGGCACTGCGTGCAGTGCCAGCGAGAGCTGTCAAGACTCGAGCTGCTTGGGTGGCACCTGGGTACACGAAACGCATGCTGCCTTGTGCTTGTGAAGTTCTTTCATGTTCTGGCTGCTTGACATGCTCGTCTGTCAAACAGAGTCAATGCGCCAGAAACTGCATCTCCTGACTGAGTTTCCCTGCTGTCGAAAGTTCATTTTGCCGATGCTTTGTGATTGAGGCATACTAGGTTACTAGGATGATCAGTGTCATGTGGTAGCTTCCCAAAATAGGGGGACCCCCCAATATACGATAATCCTTCTTATGGGGACCCCCAAAAAGGTACGTCTAATTTTGGGAAACCTCTAGAATCCCTATAAAGCACTATATAATCCCAGTTTCCATTTCATGTTCCACTCTCTTTTCCATTTGATGCTCTATTATTGGGGTCATATAAACACCAAAAACCTACATTACCCCCATATAACCCCCATATAAACCCTGTATACCCCCCTATATCCCTACATCCCCCTTTTAAAGGTACCCTTAATGTTGGGAAACCCCTAAAAATCTGAGGTTTCCACAATTTTCATGGCTGCAGCCCATCATCGCCTGGAATGGACAAAGCAAGAGTCGTGGGCTGCACCAATAAATAGGGGGTAATGGAAGGTAATATGGGGTGATGTAAGGTAACATAAGGTTATATGGGGTAATATAAGGTAATATAGGGTAATATGGGGTAATATAAAGCAGTACAAGGTAATATAGGGCAATATAAGGTAATATAAGGTAATATAGGGTTATATGGGGTAATATAAGGTAAGGTAAGGTTATATTGGGGTGATGTTGGGATGATGGAAAAGAAAACAGAGGCTATAGGAATTATATTGGAGACGGACATGGAAACTACTATAATGGGTTATATGGGGATTATAGGGTATATATTGGGGTTATATGGGGATAATGGAAAAATGGAGACTACTATAATGGGTTATATATAGGGATTATAGGGTAGGAATTATAGGGGTTATCTAAGGGTTATACAGGGGTTATATTGGGTTAAACAAATAAGGATCAGTTTAAGGCCAGCTGCTAGCAAAGGAGTGAGCACACCAGCATCCAGCATATGTGCCGCGATCTTTTTGAAGGTGCCTTGTGTTCAGAGTGCAACTCAGACATGAAGAAGGTCCCGGTTTGCATTTGTATCCAACGATTGCAGCTACTCATCTCAGCATCGGCTCAGACTGTGTGAGAATTTCCGAGAAACGGGACCCCAATATAGGCCCCAAATATGTGATTATCCTTGATTTCGAAAATCACCTACATTCAAAAGAACAACTCTTGCTGGCTCTTCTGAACCAGCTGCGCTTGTCTTTGGTACCCACGAGTGCTGCAAAGGCGGAGCCCGCCTCAGCCTGGCTATGGCTCAATGGAGTGGTTGTTGAACCAAGTAAGATCATATTCTGTATATAACACACTATACTCACTATACCATACTATACCCAAAAGGAGGATTGAATCCTACTGTACATTGGGTATCATTGTGCTATTCTTGCACATCCATAGTATCCCCAATTGAAATACTACTCAACGGGGTTTTGGGTTCAGGGGTTTGAGGGGTTGCAGCAGGGCTTAGGGGCTTTCGCCATGCGATCCGGGTTTAGGGGTTCAGGGTTGAAGGGGAAATGGGCAATCTAAAGATTGGGTGGGACGTTTACATCCCCCCTATTTTGAGGACTGAGAGTGTGCCATTCCATGAAATCTGCCATTCTGACAGTTCAACTCAGCCCTGTGCAAATGGTGTTTACGCAGCTCTCTGGCAGTCTCGTGAAGCTAGGCTTCGAGTGGTACTCCCAAAGCTCAGACTTTCGTGATCACCCAGCTCCCCGGGGGGTCTGCCTTGCAGTCATAGCTCCCCTCGTTGAGCAGGCCTTTGGCAAGGTGTCATGCAAGGACATGGCATCAGAACCCATACATAACTACACCACCCCGTAAAGCGCTTGAAGGCAGCAGTGGTATCCGCGACTCTCAACGCAGTGATACGGCCATACATTGAAGTCATGGACGAGCTGCGTAACAGCTTTTCGACAACATGTGCTTCCTTGGCTTGATTCAGCGAAATCATTGCGCAACCCCTGCTCTCCCCGCCACAGCGCTCAGCACAATCCTACCTCCAGTTAGCCACGAATGAAGCAATGGATCCTTGCAGTAATCCCCATAATTTGCATTTTATTGTCCATTCCTTAGTTTTTTCCTTGCTGACCCGAAGTAAGCAATTCTCTCTGCCACCGCGCCCAGAGTCTACCAGGAATCTCCTCCTTTCGTCCATCGAGGCCAGCTGGGCGATGGCGAAAGCTGTGGGCAAATTGACCTAACGCATGGCAAAACTGCGTAGCACCTAATAGGACTGGAACAAGGCATCTGATGAGCAGCCGCAACCTCAAATAACACATTCCAGGCTAAATCTTCCCGCGCCCGCTTGCAAGTCGCACCATGGGGATCTTAGCATTTTGAGGGATTGCTTCATTGGATTAGTAATTAATCTCATTCTGCACCGCTGTTTTTCTCAATCGTCGGGAGGTGGGGCAATGTGGATATGCCGTGTGCTGCAAGGTCTCCAACATCGACAACACCAAACGCCCTGAACTTCTTAGCCCGTAAGGCCCAAACTCCAAACTGAAAGCTCTAAGCCGACTAAGCCTCTAAACATATCCAAGTGAGCCCGAAGCTATGAAACTGCAAACCTTCACAAAGCAATGGTGGTTTTGAGGAATTTCCCCTCACATTGAGCTGCCTCATCTGGGTGGTCGCCGCTCAGGAGGGCCAGTAGCTTGACAACGAAACCCTGTACAAGGCCCAGGGTTCAGGGTTGTGGCAGTTTAAGAATGCTGTCGGGGTTTTGAGAGCTCAGGCATTCAGTGTCTGTTGTCGGAGTTCAGGCTTATAGCATCTGTCTGAATGTTTAGGTATGGAAGGCGAGTGAACAGCTTTCATCCGACTAGCCAATCCAACTTGAAACGCACGCTGGATTGGAATACACTTAGTTCCAAGGCATCTACTTGAACCGAGCTCCCGCACGAATGGCAGCCTCCGCCAGGGCACGCGCTACGTCCTCACGGCCAAGCTTCACATGTCACTACATGCCCTCTAGGAAGAGGAGTAAGAATGCAACCTCACAGCAGCTGCCAACGGTAAGGAACAAAGTCAAGAACACTCGTTACAAGCATGGCTTGACTCAGCTGGAAATACCCAAGCTGTAGGAAATGTTTCGCCACAACCTGTAGGGTGATTGACTCATGTACTGAAGACAGGGGATTATATAGGGGGTATATTGGGGGTTATATTGGGATAATGGAAAATCAAATGGAAACTGCAATCTAGGGATTACATAGGGTCTATAGGCTGGACCTTTCTCTCCCCAAGCTCCGCTCCTCGTGTGCTGCCAAATGCCCCAGCAACCTCACCTTACGTATGACATGGGTGTTTCCCAAAATTAGGGGCACCTTTGCGGGGGTCCTTTTGTAAGGATTTTTGCATATTGGGGTCTATCTTGGGGTCCCCCAATTTTGGGAAACTACCACATCCTCTAGACTCTAGCCCAAGCTGCACTTTGCTTCATGGCGAAGCAGAACAGAAGCTGGTGACGCCAGGTGCTTAGTGTCCCAAACCTACAGAGAAAATCGTGCGAATCAGCTTCCAAGTTGCTGCGTGTGAGATAGTTGTTGGTGAGGCGGCATCCAGCATGGCCGTCAAATACGGCGATATGCCTCGAGTCATGGGGGCGTCTACAGCTCCGATATCCATATTTTCGAGGGTCACAACATAATGAGGCCAGCTCTGGGCAGCTCCAGCATTGGATCCCAAGCTGCGTGCACCACAGGGACACACTCTCAGCAGTCTGACAACTTCACATAGCAGTTTTTCTGAGCGCAGCTACTCCGCTCACAATACTTCTACGTGATTCGACGCTTTCCCAATCTGTACCAAGTTGTACCTACCCAGTCTCGTTGCATGCATATAATCAGCTCGCCCAAGAAAACCCCGGGCCCCATCTGCGGAAGATGTCCGACACAATATTCATCAAGAATCACGAAGTTAGTAGAGGAGAAGAACAACAAGTATCTCTAAGGCTGAGACCATGGGCCTCTAGTATGGGCCCTTGACCCTGGGATCCTTATGTACCTAGTATATATACCCGATATGTACCCGTAAGGGTGCCTAGAATCCCCCTGAAAGGCCTAAGGGCCCATATTAGGGGCCCATATCCTAAACCCTAGAAAGTACAAGAGGGAAAGCCGGGCTTCTTATCAAACCAAAAGCTGCGGACTAATACACCAGTGCCGGGCCTCCGGAAATCAGCTCTTCACGCGCCTGGCCCCATTTTGTGTTGGGCATGCTTCCCTACCTCCATCACCAAAATCAAGGCATCTGCGCAACAAAAACTGCGCAAACTGACTTGGAGAGTTTCCGGAAATTAGGGCATTCTTGCGTAACCCAAATGTCAGTTCCTGCCAAGGCCGCCCCTTCTGGGACCTGTAGCTTTTTGAAGCCCCGCACACGCATCTGCACAACTTTGATCTGCAAACGTCCTGTAGCTCAACGGCAATTCGACGATGGAAGCTGCTGGATGTAGTCTCAATCATGCTTTCAAGGTTTCAGCCCAAAACCTGACTAGTCTACTAGTCAACCGTGACCCAGAACCCCTAGCGCATCGAACATCCCAAATCAACCCTCAAACACGCGCTTTCTTCTCAAAAGCGCCTGATTCACGCCTCTGGTCTAACATTTCGAGACGCTTCCAGGGACCACAATTTCCAAAAACAACTTTATGTGTTGCTGTGAAGGCCTAGCCTTCTCGCCCGCAGCCACATGCACCAGGACTGCCATAGCGGCCTGCGGGCTGTGCGGTGGTGAATGTTGCGCAGCAGGTCAGGTCATCGTGGGATACTCCTTAGGAGGACCCCACAAAATTGTAGTAGTGGTATCATATGACTGTAAGGAGACCCTGATATACTTGCCCGTATCCATTATAATCCATTATTGTCACCATTACTGGGTGGGGGGTCCACCTAAACTTCTCCAAACATCCCACGGGGCAGGTTTGAGAGTCTCTTTTCCCAAATCGGCATCCACCAAAAGTGTCGTGCGGCGGCCTTAATCATCTGAACCCAATGCATCAGTTCCCCGTTGACTTTGCAAACAACTCGCTGGGCAAAGATGGCACATTCCCTGGCTTAGTGGTGAGGACACAGGCACACAAAACCCACCAAACCATAGCTCCCATAACTCATCCTGCCCCTACACCGTCTCTGTTACTGGCACCGGGTGCAGGGTCAAAATACAAAGGTAAGCGAATAGGAAGCAAGTACCCAACCTCAACACTCAACCCTATGGGTATGCCTGGGAAAACCAACTTCCTTATTAGAAATAACTCAAAAAGTAGGACTGCATGACCTGGTCCAACACTACGTAGCGCTGACACTGGCCTCCTGACATTCCCCGCTGTGTGCCGTGAAGAGCCTCATCAGGGCTGGCACTCCACCTGCCGAGGCTAGCAATCAATGCAATTGTTAAACTCAGGGTGGGGGTTTCCCAAAATTGGCGGTAGCCTGTTGGGGGTCCTAATAATAAGGATCATCGTATTTTGGGGTCTCTATTGGGGTACCCTCGTTTTGGGAAACTACCAGGTCATGTTCTCAGGGCACAAACATGCAACGACCCACGCCAAGTGCCGAAAGCTACCTGTGCTGCTACGGACGCAGTCACTGCCACGACTGGCCAAGTTCATTGCAAGTCCAAACCCCTTATACGTAGACCAAAAAACGCCTTCTCCCCTCGTAAAATATGCTACGTGTTGCAAATGTCTGCTGCGGTCGGCGTTTGCTCATTGCCATTCTTCTCATTCAATTCTCTCTCACTCGTATACTTGCATCATTGCTTTTTGAGAATTGCTGTGATCTTTCAAGGCAACACCATTGCTTTCAAAAGAATACACAATTGAAGAGATAGATGATTCGCACCCCGTCGCCCTCCCCCCCAGCCCTGAGCCCTACAAAACCCTCAACCGTAAATCCTGGACCCTAAGCCCAGAATGCTGAACCCTGATCCCTAAACCCTATGCCCTGAACTATTTCGAATCCGCACTGAGGCCGAAACTCTGGAGGAGTTTGAAGGGAAGGAGAGGCGGGTCCCGAGATGGCGCCGGGAGGGTCTGGAAGAGGACTGAACCCGAAATCTTAAATTTGCACCCTCTCCATGTACTCCGAAAGAGGTCTGAGACAGCCAGGCCTGCTGTCACCAAAATGCGCTTCCCGACTGCGCAGTGTCCAAGGTTGGCCAAAGCCTTGGCTGCCTGCCAAGAGCGTCCGGTTTTAGGGTTTCAGCGTTTGAGGTTTCAGGATTTAGGGTTTAGGGGTTCAAGGTAACTTTCTGGTTGTAGAGTCTCAGGGTTCGTGCTTCAAGGTTTTGGTTTTCAGGATGTTGCCACTTGCATAGCCATACACCGGCGCATAACAGCGCCAATGCACGATGCGAACCCCATCCTTAGCATAGGAGTTTCTCCAGACCAGCCTCATGGGAGGCTCATTATGACTCCTCCTCAATATCTTCACAATTCCGCGCAAACCTGGCCTTTTCTGTCTACAATGCCTGTGCAATCCCCGCATATCGTTTTGAACCTTTTTGCAGCCAAAGCTAGGAAATCCAACCCACCCTCCCAGGGCCCAGCCTGGCATTTGGCATCCATGGAATTGTCGGATAGCATGGCTACCAAAGGCCTTTGATGAGGGCATAGAATCAAGGCAAAAGAACCCGCACTTCCACGAAGGTAATCTGTCTGAGTCTATACTGGAAAGTGCTGATTTGGCAGCCTTACCTAGCATCAGGCTCTGTACCCATCCATTTCGAACGGCAGCTGAGGGCATTCCACCTGAAAAAAGCTCGGAGCGGCTTCCCTGGCCGGTGCTGCTACATCGACTGTTCGACTGTGGCTCTTGCTTCTGCTACCTGTGGCTAGGTCGCCAACAAACCTACACCTTCTTGCACCTTCCAAAGCCTGTCCTACTGCCGTGCGTTTGGAAACCTCGTACATTGAAAAGCTTCCAGGCGTCTGGACAGCGCCAGCTGCGACGAAACGTGAACGCACATCGTCGGACGTCCTGACTTTCAGCACACTCGGAGCATAACTGCACATCCTAGTTGTGTAGGACGCCGCTGACTCCAACAATGTGCATGAACTCCATGATGCCAACCCTCGGCCTGAGTGCAGTCTGGGTGCAAGAGTGCTTCCATAGAGCAAACTGCCTGAAGGGACTCTTGCGCTGTCCCCCAAGTCATGCAATGCACCTGAGCGCATTTGAAAACTGAAGGGCGGTCGAGCTTCAGGAGGCGGTTGGGAGATTTTCGGAGAAAATGCACGGTGCTAGGTGAACAGAATCCGTTACAGTCATGCACAATGCGGTCACAACCTTCAAAAGCTGCTCTGCAAAATGACGTGCATTGTCCATTACACGTTGGTCTGACTAGGCCATGCTTTGGGTGATGAAATCCTTAGTTCTCCTTCAAAACTGAGCGAACGCGTGCATGTGGTTACTACAAGCACGTATTGCAACTTTATCAAATTTCCAATCAAAACACACATGCAAACCTGCGCATTGGCCAAGAATTGGCCAAAGCTCCTGCTTTTGTGCTCGGGCTTAGGGGTGTCGAGATTCACAGAGATCAGCATCATGGACAGTCAGACAGCATTCCAAGGACGGCACCACTTCACGGGGATTGCTGCCTTGGAGGGCTCAGGCGTCCAACATTAAGGTCAACTGAGGCTCTGTGGCTTCCCAAAGGTTCAACCCACGTGAAAAGGCTAGCCCGGGAGGGCTTGAAAGGTTCAATTTAACTTTTCTCCGCTTGATCCTTCAAAGTACCAATTGGCAACTTACTCTCTCGAATCATCATGCCGTATGCGCCCGCATGGCTTTCTCCTTACCAATCTGGATGAAGCTGCTGTCGAACGCCATAGTCTGTTTCTTCGACACGTTCGATTCCTGCAGGGCGCAAGGCACATGCAGGTCAAGCAGCCAAACACTCGACGCTCAGAAGGCTGGCAGGCGCAAATGCAGGCTGCCCACGCCTGCAAATCCTCGCGTCCCAGTGCTGCGGCATGATCTATCCACAACCGTTGTCCGTTTATGATTTATGGTGGATGGAACCCTGCCATACTTTCAAATAGCTTCTCTCCCCGCCTGGACAACAGGTGGCACTGTAAGTTCCTGAGCTGAGATTTGTCTTTTGACAGGTTCAAAGCTCATGTGTGATAGAACCACAAAGATTTGAACACGCGTGTTCTACCTTTAAAAATCTGTCTGCGCTCATCCCGCAGCAGGGTTGTCATAATGCTAAGAAAACTTTCAGCTGCAGCGATGATCGTTGAACCACTTGAACTCCCCAAGCCCAGCCGCCAATCTCAGCGTGCCAGCCTGAAACATGCAAAAAGGCAACCGCGCAGGCATCACGAACAAAAACAATCGACATGTTTAATAACTTCGTATTCTGAGCAGTGACCGTGTAAACAGCGCGCCTTGCGCCCTCTTAGTTTCAAGGTGACGCCGCCATCCCACCCAGCAGGAGTGACCTCGCCGAAGACCGAACATGAGTCCATTGCAAATTCAGCAACCCAATCCCTTTGCAATACGAAACATAGATCCACAGGCAGCGGAAAACATGAAACAACATCAAACATTCAAACTGACCAGCCCTGAAAAAACTGGAAGCAGTGGCCAGCATGATCTGGGGCCCCGTGCGACAATCTTCGCATCTCCCAAGAACTCCTCAGCAAAACTGGAACTCATTGAGGTTTGTGCAGCACGGCTGGACGACCACCATGGCAATAATTAACAACATGTCTGCTTTCAATAACTTACCCAAAGCAACACAAAGGATCAACAAGTTGGCCCTGCGGATGCTCCGAAAATCACACCAAAAATCAACTCACACAAAAAGCTCACTCGCAAATGACTATAACCGAGACCAATTATGAAAATGCAAGTGCTGCAAACGGTATGGCACTAAATGCAGGCAAAGCTCGTCCTCTTTCTTGTCTTCTTGACTGAAGACTCTGAAATGCATTGTGTCACCTCGGCATCAACTTCCACACGTTTCCTGATGCATTTAATCCACTGAACCGCATCTCAAACTTTCATTCGCAAAGAGCAACAAAAAATCATTGTTCCTCTTTAGATGCTTCAAGTCACCGAGCTCCAATCCTTCAAGGTCCTCGGTTCAGTATCCTACTTTTACCGTGCACGGGCGTTAGGAAACATAAGCCTGGCATCCGAGAAAATGAAAGCACCGGCGCTCAAGGGACCTGCAGCACAAATTTACAACAAAACACGTCATTGACGCTGAAGTGGTCGAATGTTTTTAAATGCCCGTCCCGCCCCCCCTTCTCTCCGGGCCACTTGATCGTCCTGAAGCGAATAATTTTCAAAACCGCTGCCAAACAACTTTTGCGGCTTGTTGCCTGTGTCAACACCAAAAGCCACAATTTAACCGAGCCACGATCCATTCATGCCACACTGGGTCAAGGCTTTTGAACCTGCGTTCATCTAAGATTGAGCGGCATCGCTGTTGGCATCTCTTTGGGAGTTTTTGCGGGACTCCTTTGCGAGTATTGACCATGGCTCATTCTCTACCCAGACTCCTAAAGGATCAAAAAAATGGAACCCTAATAATCCCCTAATTTCCCCAATGTACTCATGGGTTCATTTTGGGGATCCATTTTTTTGGATCCTTTAGGGGGTCTGGTAAGGCTTTATTCGTTGCTGTAGACGAACATCAAACGGCCTCGTTTGAGTTCGGAAGCCCAAGTGCGGTTTGCCAGAGACCTTGCACACCACATACCTAAGCTGAATCAGATCAGATTAGAAGGTACAGGCTCAGGATTTCAGGGGTTCGGGCTTGTATTTATTTGCTACCACGGGAAGTTGCTCACTTCAAGCGGGATCATGAAGCTTTTGGACGGCATCTATAGCGCAAGGTAGCTCCAGCAAACCACGCACCGCTGCACTGCCATCACCAAGCAGGGGCTCATTGAACTTGCCACGAGGCGGATTGGAGTTGTCATCTAAGTCGGCCGCGCGCAGGCCAACGCCTTCAAAAGGACTGCAGTTTTTGCCCCAAACTCTTCGGTACAGTGTCAAGGCCATTCCAAAGAAGTGTCTTGAAACTCGGCCTGCAATCTTTTTCCTTCGCCTGCTCGGCGTGAGCTGGGACCGCCATGCTCCCAGACTCTTAGGTAAAGCATCTGCAGCGCAAAGTTCCTTCTCATGAACAAAACAAGGAGCGGCACTGTACGCATTCCTTGCCAAGGCCTGCAGTTGCCATGCAAAACGCCACCTGGCCAAACAACTGGAAGCCAGCTGCACTAGCCCAGGTACTGCCAAGAATCCTCCTACTGCTTCTGCTGAGTTTTGATCCTGGCCATAGGAGCTTGTAGTACGGATGCGCTCCTCAATCCCAAGCTCAGAATCAGTAGGCTGTAGCCCAACGTCGCAGGGCTCCTGTCTCAGGAGCAGCCTGCAAATGTTGTGATAGAGCTGTAGCGCAAACTTCTTACAGACTGACCGGCTTGAACGGCTACGCGGGATCTGTGAAAATTGAGGGCCCCCCTTTTCGTGCTGAGGCTACCTTGTGTTTTGTGCACTTTTGTGCCTTACATTTGTAGGATCCAGAAATCTTAGGGGAGACCTCCTTTTGGAAACTCAAAAATTCGGCTTGCGCTGCCAAGGACTAATGTCCATGCCACTGCCTTGACAGAGATGGCAGCTGCCCTCTTAATTAACCCAAACGGCTTGGCACATTGACGCCCATGCACAGGTTCCTTTTCTGGACGTAGACCCACCAACTTGCTGGCCTCAGGCTTGGACATCCTCCTGTGCATCCCCTGTGGTGGCGGCCACAGAGTCCTCCCTCGGCGACTTCACCATCCTCCTGTACGAGATGAAACCTGCAGCAACCACTGCGGCTGCAGCCGCTATACTGACTGCCGCAAGCACTGCTGCAGCTACCCGAACACCAGAGATCACAAACTGTGGCCAGGCAAAGAAGTTGAAGCGGGTGGGGTTCATCAAGTTGTCGGGCTGGCCTAGCTCCGCAAAAATGCCGGTTAGGGCCCACGCGGCCACTAGCGGGATGATCACGTCTGGCTTTGGGGAAGCGAATGCAAACAAAGCAACTGCAAGCAGGATTCCGCAGAAGCAGAGCATGCTCAGTGCCAAAGATACGTCTGGAGCTGCTTCCAGGTACTCTGCCAAAACACAGGTGTTTAGTGCGCTGGCTGCGATGATCCATCCTGCATGGAGTGAGAACGGAGCCCTCAGCAGCAAGTAATCTGTTGATGAGAGCTGCTGCGGTTTCCAATCAACTACCAAGATCCCACCAACCAGGGGGATCAGAATGCCGATCATACAAACCAGAGCGCCGGGAATGACTTCCTGTGCGAAGAAGATAGTCCAGGCAACCTGGAAGATGCACGCGCTCACCTCGGATGTCAAGTTGAAGAGAGTAACATGCAGTAGGCCAAAGCTCAACAACGCAGATCATTCTCCTTCACGCCAGCACTTGGCGGCCGAGCTGCCCACCAGGGTGTCATGGCCTGTACCACTGCGGCGTCCCGCCACCTTGGCAATAGCTGCACTATTGCAAAGGCACCCTCCCAGATGAAGATGGGGCCCCAGATCGCAAAGGCATACCCCGCTGGAGTTATCAGCGTCTGGTACTTGGCACTGAGCTCCTCGTTCGTCTTGCCGAAGGCACCAGTCAGGGAGCCGTAAGTGATGCCGAGATTGATCAGGTACGCCACGAAATTCCTCTGCTCCAAAACTTGTCAACCGTCCCTCAACACAACACCGTGCATTCGTTATTTCGGCCTACATCCGCAGCAACAGAGAGGCACACACTGCTACAAGATAAGCTGTCCAGCACTTGTGTCTTCCATACCTCTCAGCCCAGGGTCAGCCAATTCTTGGCACCAATCTTTGCAATTTCCCCCACCTCTGCGCAGCATGCTCATCGCTTTTGCACCAGGGGCCCTTGAAGTCTTCAACAACCTTGCTAGATTCATTGAACCTTTTTTGCAGCTTGTTTCTATTTGAACATGCGTCAGCCTTCGCGGAAAGCGAGCTCAATCCTTGGGATGACATCGTTGCAAATTGCTGTAGAGGTCCACCTTCACCTAGGCTCACAAAAGAAGGTTCCCTCAAGCACAACCGCGACAAAAGGAAAAAGAGTCCTTTCAACAGTCAGCCTCTTAAACTATATTGGGGTTATATAGGGGTTATTATATGGAGGGTATATTGGGATAATGGAAAAGAAGATTCAAACTACTATTTAGGGTTTAGGGTTTAGGGAGCCAATCACAGAAATCCACCCGACACTCTGTATGTCATAAGCTTGTTCCTGCGACTCTTCCTCTGTAGCTTTCCAGGTCTATCCAAGTGCACACCAGCCAGATAGCTAGCACACAGGGATCCCTATAGGGGTTATATAGGGATAATGGAAAAGAAAATGGAAGCTACTATATTATAATAGGGTATATATTGGGGTTATATTGGGGTTTTTCAAGCTCCCTCTCTTGCATTCTTCTGAGCAAGTATCAATGTGGCACATCCTTGAAGAGATCTGTAGTTTCCCAAAATGAGCGGACCCCAAGATAGACCCCAATAGATTATAATCCTTATTATCAGGACTCTATATAAGCCTATATAACCCCCATAAACCCCCTTTAAAGGGCACACTGCCGGGGCGCTTTTGAGTCCAGAAGCGGCTGTTTGCCCAAATCTGTAAGCCACAATGGCTGCCAAAAGAGCCAAGGAAGAGCGAAGCAAGGTGACATGCGGCGGTGCCCATGAGCTTTAGTCTAAACTCCTAGTATCCCACTTAGTAACCCCTACATTACTCACATATATAACCCCTTTTAAGGAGTTTGGACTAATCCCCTCCCCCTATTATTAAACCCCCCAACCCCCTAATATCAAATATGACCAATATACTATAACATACCACAGTGGGGAGTATTTAAGGAGTTTAGACTATAGCTCTCATGGTGCTGAGACCACAGACCTCAGGCCGTCAGCCTCTGTGCACCCTGGATTTGCGACCTACATGTTCCCAAAACTATGGCCCTTTTTTGGGTATGGGTTGTATTACGGCACCCAAGATATGGGATCCCAATTTTGGAAGTTACCCATTTAATTTGCAATCAGTGATCCAGTGAGGTGCAGAATCGTTCTTCTCACAACGCTCTGTTCATGAGGTGGCTGGTGGACACCTCTCTTTCTCTCCCTCAAAGATTCTGGTCGGAACAAAGCATGAAGAGTGGGTGGCAAACATTGTTGACACTCTTGGTCTCCAAGGAAGACTGCGAAATCGCAGAAGTCATGTGCTTTCAAGACTCAAGACATACTCATGGTTGCTCATAATGGATTCCGAGCCTTGGATGATGAAGATGCTACACCTGCGGGAGCATCACTTGCATCCAGGGCGTAAGAACTTGCGAAGATTGGGCGTCACATCGTGCTGTTGAACTCCTTCCGCAGCCTCCTGCTTTAGTTTCACTTGGTCTTATCAGAACCCTCAGATCTAAGCCAATCAACACCCCCCCACAGTGCTCACAGCTGACCCCAGACCGAGCCTGGTAATGTAGACCTCTGGCCTACCATAATTTGATTCCCATGCGTGGTCATTACCTCAGTGTCACTGAGGCGTTTGAGTAGGGGGCAAGGAGACGGCACGTGCACTAAATCCATTGCATTACATGAAGTATCGTCTAAACTCCTAGTATCCCCTTTGATAACCCCTATGATACTGCCTTATATAATCCCTTATACAACCCCTTTTAGGGAGTTTAGACCCTGGACCTTAGCCCCAAACCCTATGTAATCCCTTTATATAACTCCCCGTAAGGAGTTTAGACTATAGCTTGCAAGACACCTCACACGGATTTCAACCTTAAGTTCTGAGGACATAGCGTCGATACAGAGGATCTCATGAAGGCGTACTGAAGCTTGCAAACAGCAGATACAATGGGGGGAGTTTCCCAAAATTAGGGGAACTTTTTTGGGGTCTATATTGGGGTCCCCCCATTTTGGGAAGCTACCAGTTCAAGCATTGCTACAGGTACCGCCAGGGGAATTGGCTTGTCTAGACTCTAGACATGTCTTGCAAACGCCCATGGCTTCCCTAAACCCTAAACCTTAGATGGTAGCTTCCCTTTTCTTTTCCATTATCCCTATATAAGCCCTATATTACCGCTATAACCTCCTTTTGTAGGTACCCCTCCGTGTTTGCTCCAAACACTCATCCTGGGAGCAGCGCTGCTTGGCAGTGCAATCTCATCGCATGTGAACCAGGCCCAGATTATCTCCTGCGGGACATTGCGCTGTTTGATTAACTTCGTATGGCCGTTGAGGGAGGATGCTGGTTGCATCTTTCAGCGTCTGCTAGATGGCTTGCTGCGAGCTAAACGGAATTTGTGGGCAAACTGTGCAAGATGAAGCAAGCGGCACCGTAGTCTAACTTGGTACAGTATCTTGTTTCAAGGGGGAGCCCCTGCGAAATGCATTTTAAAAATGATAACTCTTAACAACGATTGCCCATGTAGGATACGATAAGACTGGTCAGCCTGTGATCCGCAGGTCCTGTTTGATGTAAACAGGTCAAGCCAGCACACTAGGTTCATCAACAGATAGGCCACCCTGCCACAACTCCTTTTGTACATGATAAGATATTGGGAATCTCTAGCATTATGGGGGGTTGGGGGGTTTAACATCGGGGGGAGGGGATCAATTCGCAAAACAAGGTTGCCCCAGTATATACCCCAATATATAACCATAATATATACCCCGATATAACCCTAACATATACCCGACTATAACTCAATATATAACCCCAATAATATATACCCCAAATACAACCCCAATATAACCCAATATATAAGCCTTAGATATAACCCCAGAATAACCCTAATATATATAGTCCCCCTTAACAAGATAGAATATTTGGTATATGGGAATCTTATTAAAATATACCCAAAGCCATATTCTATCTACTTAAGGGGGACTCTAAACCCAATATTGCCCTAATATAAACCCTAAACCCTGAACCCTAAACCCTAATATGTACCCCTGCAACACCCCGCCTCGCCGTAGAGCTCCGGCCCGAGGCACCAGCGATCTTCGCCCAGCCGATAGATAAAGGCCCCTCCTGCGAATCAATTCCCCCTATAGTTTAGGGTTTAGGGTCTATAGCCCCCCTTAAGTAGATATAGGAGTTATAGGGGTTATATTGGGATAATGGAAAAGAAAATGGAAACTACTATTTAGGGTTTAGGGGTTCTAGGCCCCCTTAAGTAGATGGACTATGGGTTATATGGGGATCTTATTATGATTTACCCAAAGCCAGATTTTTATGTACTTAAGAGGGACTAAGATAGTAGCAATAATAGCTGCAAGAATGCTACTAATAGTAGCAACATGATATCAGTAATACTACAAAGAATGGAAATAATAATAGCAATTATACCTGCAAGAATGATATTGACAACAGTAACAACAACATCAAGAATACTGACGTGTGGCGTTCAAGGCCTTCTTACGCCAGGATGTCCGTTCCAGTTTGATGCATCCAATCTTTCATGAGTGTTCGGTGACCATTCACGTCTTGCACTAAAGGGACGTAAGCAAAAGTAAAGTCACTGCAATGAGGCAAAGCTACCAGACTTCCATCCATGTCTATAATACAGTAGTCTCCATTATCCCTAAACCTAAGGGGGATTATAACCCCAATATATACTACTATTGACAGAGGCAACTTGGCAGCCCAAGAAGTTGGTGGGTGTGCGTCCTGTTCTTTTATCGCAATTGGCTTGGAAGTGCTCCGCTAGTCGCGCTGTCTCAAATCGATGCACGGCAGGAGCGAGCGCGAGCAGTCGGTTGGCTCAGTACTTTGACAGTGTTTCCATCTCGTTCCCACTTCAATGATACCCGACACGCTTTTAACCATGCTCGAGCTGATAGCAGATGGGGCAGGGCACAAGGCTTGCAGCCAAACACGCATGATTCCAGATCTAGGCGCCTCCAACTTTCTGGAAAACTCGAGGTGTGGAGTTGTCCTTAGCTTCTGGCCCGCATTTCCGTTTGTGTGCCTTGCTGGTTCCGGAGGGAGATGACTCTGGGAGGGGACTGCTTGCCTCTAGCATTAGAAGGGGATCCGTTGGGGTCCTCATAATAAGTAGTATACTGTTATGTACTGGGGTATATATTCATATTTGGGGCCCAGAAGGTCATTGCTTCACTAGGATGCTGCAGAACCGATGACTGTGCTGGTTTGACATCTACGTCCCTTAGTATCCCCCGCAGCCGCTTTGGTAAGTCCAGGCTCTCAAATGCCGGCAGGGTGCAGACCCCATGCCAGGTCTGGCTGTTTTTGAAAGATTTGGGACACAAATGGAACAGCCAACACATTGGCAGCCTACAAAAGCCGAGGAAACAGTATCCAAGGGCATTACATAGCATCTCCGCCCATCATGATTCAAGGACAGAGCCGCAAGCATCATCCCCTTGGACACGCATTAATTTCTTCACATAAACTATGCTCCAAGCAAGTCCGGAAACCCACCTCGATACTCTTTGAGGGCTCTTGCATCATCCCAGTTTAATACCAGCAGCAAGCTCCCTTTGCAAAGTGGGCAATGAAAGTGAGCACTGGGGCTGTTCACAGCCTGGCAGCCAGGCGCTCAGCAGCTTTCAGGGGATGCCGTCCATCAACATGGCCAATGAAGGGAGGATGGATAGAATATCCAGCCATGATCTGGATTTCTGGAGGCAGCGCAGCAACTTGATCGAATGGCACGGAAAGCATCATGTTTTCCTGTGGGCGAACCCAAGGCTGGCAATACTGTGCGGTGAAGGCACAGCGATTTGTGTCCGAGCTCATGTT